CCTGGTCAACTACTGGACGATTTCAGCTCTTCAGACCTTTAAAATCATTCAAATTAAACAATCTGAAAAGGGAAAATCATTTTTTGGTGGAGCTACTCGCAGCTGTCCACACTACGGCCATTACTCAGGGGTATCAAGTAGACACTGATTTATTTTAAGTGGTCACAAGGCAAATTATATATATAATTCTTTCTCTGCTCAAATTTCACAGGTGATCCATGAGTGACATCAACCGTCTGTCATCGCCTAATTGACATGAATTGATTATTATATTGATGCTTTTACATTGTACCATTGACATTGCTTCTATATTTACAAACAGTATGTCTAAAAAAAAGTGGTTTAAACAGGGTTGTGATGGATTTTCATGCAGTTCAATTAATTCAGGGAGTGGATTTTCTTTCGGTAACTTGCATTTAAGGAACTCAATTTCTGTTCATATAAAATGTGTCATAGTGAGTGTGTGAAGAAACGGTTCCTTTATCATAACACAAATTGCAGTTTGTATGTAAATGATATCCTGTGTGTAAGTGAGCTGACTGTAACCATGCTATGGAGGTTTAAGCTGAATGTGTATTTGTAACAATAAATGTTGAATACTGTAAAGCTCAAAGGACTTCACTAGTGGGAAAAAAATAGTAATAAATAATAATAATAAAAGTGTGAGTTCAGCTTTACAAACAGTAGTTTTAATGCAACCAAGCCACAATGCATGTTAAGAGACATTTGAATTAATAGGGCCATTTCTAGGGCTAAGAAAATATTTGAAATGTAAAATTGTCTGATCTGATCTTGTTCACACAACCTGCTTGTGGCATTATAAAACTTAAAAACTTGTCAAAAAACAACTTAGATTCGGCTCCAGATACCTCAAAATAATTGGTTGATGGCGTTTTTTTTTCTATTAAGCATACTCTAAGAATAAATGAAAGCAGTTGACATACTTATATCCGTCACCAGAAGAGACTTACAGACTACATGTGTAATTGTGCAATTTTCTATGCCGTATTATCTGATTTGCACTCAGTGTAATTTCCCCATATATCAGAGCATAGTTTTGTGTGGCTGTTGTGACAGTGAGCATACTCAAACACCAGTATTAGGTATTACCACATAGAGAACTCAACGGCCACATACCCATCTCAAATTTACATTTAGCTTCAGGCTTTAGAAAGGATCGTCCAAGCATCAGTTGACTCACTAATTACATTTAACAATTAATGTCTTTTCATAATTTGTCCATTGTATAGACATTTTTTTATGTTTTGATGAAACCTGAAGTTCAAGTTTGAATGAAGAGAGTTCTGTCTTGCAGCAAGGGGCTTGTAATGAAAATACATTGGGCCAAAATCAGGTAATCTAGGAAAGAAATACGTTAAACAAATTACTTGATCACCTTGAATGATAATCAGGGCGTGCTAGTTTTATTGTTGAGTGGATATTATGTTTGAACTTAACGGAGAATGATAGTTGTTTTCATATGAAATCTGTTCCATATTCCATTTTTCCATTTGTTTCCACCTCTGCCATGTAGTACTGTTGAGCGTTAGGAATGTGAAAAAAGGTTCTGTAGTGAAATATGACCTGTTTCAATAAAACATGCTTTATTGATGCAAGGTAAAAATATCTCTGGTTGTTCTTTTTTTTCAATCTTAACATTTATCAGCAGCAATTTAAAAACTCCAAAAACTAAACTCGAACCAGTTTCTTTACTTGAGTCACAACGTTAATACTCTTGTTGCATACAGTAAAAAAGTTAAATCATTATTTAAAGACAGGTTATGGTTTTTCACGTATTGTCAAAGTATCTTTTTTTTAAATTTTAAACCAATGTAAATACTCACACTGACGCAATCACACTCAAACCCACACACACATACAAATATACACACTCGCTCCAGACTGAGACAAAGTCAACCGGGGCTCGAACGTGTCTGGCACAAGTTTCCCCTGTGAAACTGAATAAACAGATCAATAAGGCAGTACATTTGGACTGCATTAATGTCTTATACGAAACAGCTCGGATTCAAGTTTACCGACAGAAGGCATCAAAGTGTGCTTTCAAATCAAACGTCAAAGTTATTTAAGTCGCTGTAGCAGGTTACAGCCCCCTTCAGCGCACATTAACAGGATTGCATTATTGATGGGCCGCACACTGTGGTGGCCAATTCAACTAAAAACTTAAAAGGTAAAATAACATTAGGTAAAATAACATTAAAACCAAATCAAAACAGTTGCCTAAAATCCTGATATACTGTATGTACAAAAATGATCTCACCATTTCTGTAGTGGTGTGAAAGGTCCGAGGTGTGTGCAGTCGATCTGTTTCCTTAATGCTCCAGATCCAGATGTAACTGTATATGTACTTTTCAAGATGTGTTAGGATGCAAGTATGAGGACAACTAATGAATCACAAGATGATGGTGGTTTGTGGCTGAACTAGGCATAAAACAACATATAAAAAGGTTATTACACATTAATAATTAGATTCCAGTATTATTAGAATTTAGTGATTAAACCTTATAAATAATCTGTAATCAATCTAAATGCAGAAGCTGAAGTATATAGTATGTTTTTAAAACCAAATTCCTTCCACACACAGCTTTTCAAAAATGTGTGTTTTGTAGTGATATGTGTCACATATTACATGTTATTAAACCAACATTGTTTAAAGTTAATGATTGTCTTTTACTACATACACATTTGGCCATTTTAGGCAAAAAAAAAGTAAGTTAATGGGATTTAAAGCAACATTATGCAACTATTTTAGCAGCTTCAAAAATAATTTTGATTACACTGACTGGTAATAGAGAGAAAGGTCTTTCATTCTCACTTGGTGCCCTGAACCCCTGTTCTTGCACTATGTAACATGGGTTGACCAGCTACACTGTACGGCGAGAACAGCTTAACACTGCACTACATCACACACCATAACTAGTCTTCAGCCACAAGAAGCTTGCTCTGTATTCTCAGTGTGTCTATTGTTTTTCCAAACTACTCGACGCTCATGCGGGTCCCCCTGAAATACGACAGCTGCAGTAGCTTGGAAAATGGTCAAATGGGGCACTGATATGGATGAATTTACTATTTATCAGACCACAAATGCAACAAGAATAAAGGTTGGAAAAACTAAAGAGTGTTTCTGGGATCCGGGCCTCACTGATTACTATACAACTGATTTTGGTGAAACTGGATAGTATCTTATAGAGAAAATAACTCTGTAAGTTTCATAACACTAACTGCTGCTAACTGTAGCTCTCATTAGCTAGTTAGCTCAGTTAGCCGTGCAGCTAGCTGTGCCCGGGACCGGGACCTCAGAGCACCGGGAGAGTTGCCCCCTCCCCCCACCACAAACCTGTTTGCCAAATTGAAAAAAAATACCAATTCTTGCATAATGTTGCTTTAAGGGACAGTTGTCAATGGCTTGTTATGTTCTGTGTGAGAGCTTCAAATACTATTACAAATGCTACATTGTACTGACATAAAAATGATTGATGTGGTTCATTTGTAGAATGACACTGAACAACTGTTCACACAATCTAGGTTTACAGCACACTTACAGAGATCACTGATGTCACATATCAACAACAACACACTAGCTGCACTGCAAAAGATATCTACAGAGGTCATTGAATCTCATACTCAGTCTTTATCTAGTATTACAAAAAAAGAAAGAAAATCTGTCACTGGGATTAGATACGATAGTTTCCAAACCCGGCCAGAAGATTTCTTGCATCTTTTTTATGCAATATACTGTAAATATACGAGATTAAATGACAGGCATTTTTTGCAGTGTGGTCCTTGTAGTTGGAAGCAGCGTGGAGCCTGTGGCCCACCAGCCTCCGTGGCCCCGTGACGACAGCTGCTGGTGATTATTTTCATCCTAGTATCCTGCCTTTGTTAACTTGAAGTCCTCTGCTGCGTGAGAAAATCATAGATGTTATCCTCTTTGCTTAGTCTCTCAAAGAAGGGGATAAGATCGAGGAGCTCAGTGTCTGACATGTCGTCAAACCAGGACGCTACAGGAACCTGGAGGTTTGAAGAAACAAGATACGGTGGAATTAGAAGACCTTTTCAATATTCCAAAGTATTTAATATTATACAATTATTAGATTAATTTCTAAAAAGCAAAAGAGTAATATTTTTTAGTGAACAAAAGACAACTACTGAGTGTCCTTTAATCACATGTATTTCAGTGTATTGCAGAGAAATAGATAAAAGCAGCATACTGCGTTGTCGGGATGGAAGATGTAGGAGGCTGGGGAGTTGTCAATGATGATGACTTTGTTCAGGTCTCTTCCTAAACGGCTCAGGTCTTTTACGTAGTTTCCTTTGTGGAAGACGCATGACTCCCGGAAGAGACGGCTCCGAAAGGCCCCCCATTTGTCCAACAGGTCCGACACAGGATCTGCGTACTATAGTAAACGGGGGGGAAGCAGGACCAAGCTTTAAATAGCACTGAACAATGTTTGTATGATATTTTATGGCTACTTTACATGGCTTATGAGAAAGGCTAGACAACTGAGATGAGTAAAAGTGCAAACTGCGCGTGGGAAGTACACACACGTTTTACCTTTTAAAAGCAAAAAAACACACAGACACAGACTGCTGAACTACATGGCAGAAATAAAGTAACAATGCACGTTGTAGTATTTCCTAATGAGGCAAAAAAACCTGATTTCTATGTTAGAGGTATAGCTGCATTAACTGATTTTTTGGCCGCTTGGGGGCAACAAAATCAAGTTGTAAATAATGCACAAGTTAAGCAGGGACATACAGTATGTGTCAACCATAGAGAAGTCATATCTGCAACATTTAAGCTTGGACATTTTTCAAAAGACCAGCAAGACACAAAACTTATATCTGACAACGTGCTTCACAAAGTTAAAACAAAGGTTGACACTGAGTAAATGTTAGAGGTTAAAATGTCTGCGCAATCGCTTGACAGGTATCATAAATATATCTGTATCTGAGGGTGCATGTGAAATGGCACGCTGGTCTTCCAGTAAGCATAATGCTTTACAACAACAGGTGCCACTATCTACATCAAGCCTGTTTGTGTCCATCTGCAAAACGCCAGCCCGCCTGCTTTGATCAGGCTCATTTTATCATAAATTACACAAAATGAGTAACAGCAGTCTCACCTTGGATAAGCTTGCGGTGAACAAAACACACTCAAACAGTTCTCCCATCCTCTTGAGGAATTCGTCAACGTGGGGTCTCTTTAACACATACACCTGGGGGAGAGACACAAAAGGCATGCGAGTATGAAATCTACAGTTGGGATATGATCAGGAACTTAAACTACTTAAAGGGTTAATGTAAAGAAAGGAAATCCTACTTCTGACCTGTGAGTCCAGAAGTTCTTAAAACAAAAATATATTGGGACATTCAGCACCTACACTTAGAAAAGGCATCTGCCAGAGCAGATTTAGGCTTTTTAATGTAATATAACATATATTATGTGTTATAATATCTCCAAACATGACTGTTACTCACTGTGAGCAAAGATTTTCTTTACCATTAACATTATTTTGTATGTTGATAACTCTTGACATTGAATAATCCAAAAGAACGCACAAAGCTGTAATATTGAATTTGATAACACTCCATGTGGACACCCTAACAGGACTTTATATATTATCTACTTCCACTAAGATGCTGGCGGCCTTGTTTCTGAACCAAGTCATCCCGAATAGGCCTTCCCCACTTTAACAAGCCTATCCTGGATTACTTGAAACAGACCCAGGCCCTTTGGACAACAAAGCTCCGCTGTCTTCTGGGAGGCTCAGCACAACAGACTGCAGTTACCATTTAACGCCTGCAGGGAATAGTCACTGCCATTCCCCAGCACCAATAAGCAGGGCATAATATACACCACAGAGTGAGATTGATGGCCAGTGATTTCTGAGAAGCCTGCCAGGGTTTCCTCATTTCGTCAGGCCATGGAAATAGCCACCTGCTGCTTGGAGCCGTCAACAGAGCGGGCCACAGCACTGTCAGGGTGCTAGCACAGTGTTACCAGTGCAAACTGGAGCCAGCATGTGGGATCTTTGGATTTTACTCCATACTTTTGTATTTGAGAATCCATAAGATTTCATAAAGCATCCTACTGTTCAGGGCTGATGGTATATAGCACAGATTTTGGTTGCTAGTGTGTGATACAGTATATACAGTACAAGGATCGTGCTCTGTATCAATCCTGTTTTATACACAAATTGTTGGGGCTTTCAGCCGGAAGTCTAGACAGCTTTGGGAAACTTCAATGATCAGTTTGACATTGTGGTGATGTGACTGAAACAACATAAGAGGACAGCAGATGGTCTTAACCTACCTGGTGAACTGTTCCATCAATTTCCACTGGAATGATAAAATCAGCATTGTTCACTGGCTGTTGAAAACAAAAGTAGTAGTGTTAAACACACAAAAACAATATGTTTCATTTTAAATCAACATCTTCTCATAGAGAGGAGTGATAGCAACAAATCTGAAGCAGGGATGTGTCAAATAGACATGAAGGCGCCACCTCACAGTTTTTTAAATAACACAACACTGTAAATAATATGACTCTTGTGACTTCCATCATTGAAATATAGGCACTACAGAAAGTGACATGGCTCATAAAAATATCTGATTTATATAGGCAAGTCTCACACCTGAAAATATGCTTCTCGAATGTTAGTATCGCCCCAATCTATATAAGGCATTACACTGTGGCCTAAATTCATATACTATGAGGTAGTGCAAGTAAGAGAACAAGTTTACCATCAATCATAAACAGAGTTTGAGAATGCAGTATTTTCCCCCAATGTTACATGCTGGTTAATGTTCTGCCCTGCACCCGCTGGTGCTTTTCAATAACAAATGAAGTTTTTATTCCATTTTAGTTGTAGTTTGTTCCATTCTGGTCTCTTTGCCTTCTAGCTACTCACTGCCTTTCTCAATTTCCATCCTCTCAGTGTGAGCCGGTACTGTGTAGTGTCTATGTGAGCTTGTGGGCTGAGCAACCGCCGCAACACAGTTGTTTTTTTGTTTCACTTCAAGGACAACTAATGCTTTCTTACATTCATTTACCATTCATATGTATGTTTTTTTTGTTACTGTATAATCACCTGAAAATAATACCTGTTATGTTTTTGTTAACTGAGAAGCCTTTTATATCTACAGATGCTGCAGGTTGCGTTCCAGAACGGACAAACCAAACACTGGCTCTAGATAGGGCCGTTTGCATTTTTCACTTGTTTGGCACCGTAGTTTCTCCTTTGTGCTTGGAAGGGGAGGGTGAAGCGAGTGTGTTACAATCTGCCACTACACTGCTATGCCACGAAATCCTACCACTTATCCTTTATGTGCTACATTTTATTTTAAAAGTAAATATTTTTACATGAGGGATGATTAAGCTGATCACGATTGGAGTTTTTAAAGGCACTCATAAGTATAAATCTCGAGTTCTGCTGTTATACTATAATCTTTATGGTTTATAATCCTGAATTTGAATTGTGGTCCAGAATGATGCCACTGATGAGCAATACTAAAGTGAAATGTTTAGTATTTATTTTGTGCTTACAATTTTGTATGGTGGTTAGAATATATAAGAGTACATATTGTATCTGTTGACATATTTGCTCTATTTTTACTGGAAAGTAGTATTGGTAATGTGAGCTTTTCTTTCCTGAACCATTCAAAATGGGTAATCTTAAACTGTAAGAACTAGGCCACCTTTTAAAAATGGTGGACTTGACCTGCTTTGGAAGCTGGCCAAGGTTTGATTAAGATATGATGACTTCAGTGTAATATTAATAGTTGACTATTGAGCCGCTCATTTTTATAGGTGCATTGATTTCATTTAATCCAGTTTTAATCTAGTTGAAATGAAATATTTTCCATTCTAAAAGATTAGAAAATAGGTTACACAGCAAACTGGCTTTCCTCTAACGCTATATTTAGTATGTGTGTCAAAGTAATAATGAGTTTTATTATCCACCTTGTGTTAAACATGGAGTTCATAGAGTCTGACCCTGTTTACACATAGCTAGTGGCAATATCCAGTGACATCCTTTAGGACAGTCTGTGACCTGAGAAGGACTAAACACCACATGGCATTCATTACATAATTTGTCGTGACACAGGAGCCTTGACTTTTGGCATTGATTACTTTGTTCACCGAATGCTACCTTAAAAGGCATCAAACAGATTAAAAAGGTTGTTATTTGTGGGAACAATGTAAAATACATTGTCTGAAATTTTTACTTACAACATCTTAACACTGACTGAGTTACAAGTTTTACAAATGATGTTGTGCAGAGATTCTATTAAAAAAGACGCGTAGTTGTATTTTTTCTTACATGAACGTACAGTATTTATATATAAATTGCTCAAGTTTGAATTGAAAAATGGTTGCTGATAAGTTGAGGCATATTTACTCAGACCTAATGGTACACTAAAGTTAACAGCTGAACATTTCTTTGTCCTTTGCAAGTTAATATTCGTTCTTAAAAATCTGATTTTACTGGTTTTTAATTTCACTTGGACTTCGAGCTCAGCTGGGTTCTGCATCATGAAACCAGAGCACCCATTAAATACATGGTTAATGTTTAGGTGGCACATGAGCCCAGTCCTTTAAGATAAAAATAAGTCATGTGTCTCCTAAAAATATGCAAAATGATGTAGTGCAAATCCTATTGCTATTTTTGCCTTTAGCTTGGCAAGTAAATTGTTTGCTTTGACAGTCTATATGGAAGCCTAATGGCAGATACTCTACAAGAGTCTCCCTGCTATTTGATATTTAAGTAATTAAAGGCCAAGAGTATAAAAAAGGCTATAAAAACCAGTTAGTCCAAATGAAATAGAGGATTAAGAAACTCATTAGACAGAAGTGAGTTAAAAATGTATGAAGTCAGCTGTCAATCAACTGTAAATAGGCTTAACAGTTATAGTTAACAAGCATACTATACTGTATATCCATTCAGATAGTTTTGGTATGATCCCAATAACCTTGAATTTGTTGCTGTAATGACACCTCCTATCACCTTAATACAGTGTAGCTAAAAGGCATTAGGATGATAGTGTTCAGGCTGCCAGCAGACTACATTTACAAGAGAGCAACACCTTCTGAGAGTCGTCACTCACTACAGTACAAAGACTTTGTTGTTCAGGCTGCCAGCAGACTACATTTACACTATTGTTTTTCTCAAATAAGTCCATTAAAATTTATTTTAAATGAAAAATATGTGCTTATGATGACAATGAAGGCATAAACTCAAAGTGAACAACTGCTTTTGATTTATAACTATTGGCTCTTAGCACCATAAACCAAATCTCATTGAGTTTCATTGTGCTGATTGCAGACATGTTTCTCTCCTGTAAACATCTCACATTTGAAGCAATAGCTTTGGGGATTTTGCAGTTATTTTTTTTATTGGTGAGAGATAGTTGAGAAGATCAATATCATGTCTCTATGGTGACTATGATGTTACAGTTTTTTTATTTTTTTTATTTTTTTTTATTTAACCTTTATTT